TCTGCATGTCTTCTGTTTGAATCCAGGCGAGTACTTTAAATGGAATAGTTGTGGTGGAAAAAAGCCCATTGACTGAGCAGTACTTCCCTGCAGTGCAGAAGTTTGTGGTGTTAGAGTTGGGAATGACTGTGCTGCCTGTGGCCAACCAGACTGAGGCCTCCCATCTCATCTCCCAGTTGGTAAGATTTTTAATGTTTTCCTTCAATTCCAGTTTCCCTTCTTCATATCTGTCCTATTTATCCTCAACATTCCAGTTTGTGTCTTCTTCTGCTGCCTGGGCCTCAGACTCATAATTCCTTCCCTCAACCTCCCTCTCACGATCGCTCTTTCCACCTTTTTAAAGACATTCCCCTTCAGCCAGCCTTTTGGTTGCCTCCCCTAATATTTCTTAGAAGTTATGAAATACTCAGCAAATCTTGGAGAGGGAGTGTGAATTAAAGTTTCCTTTCTTTTTGGGTTCATTCATGGGATGTGGGTGTTTCATGAAATGCCCAAGCCTAATTGTCTTTGAGAAAATCAACAACCTTAGAACCTGTTAGAAATGTAACTGTTTTTCGGCAAGGAGAGAGACAGAGGGGAGGTTGATAGAGTGGAAGGCTTAAGAGGCAAAATCATGGCAGGATGATGGTGCAACAATAATTTTGTCATTGCAGTTGATAGCTTTTGTAGTCCCATCTTGTTTCTCTACTTGTTCTATGATATCCTCTTTGACTCGCATCATCCCACCCACGTGAAACAGCTTAACTGTAATTTATTTCATTGCTGTAAATGGGAGCTTGCTATGCACAGATTGTCTATTGTGTTATCCACTTTCTGACAAGAATTACCACATTGTTGGACAAAGCCATTCCACACTAACGTGGAAACAAACAGGGTTTGCTATCAAGATTAACAGTCAAGTTGACAGCTTAAGCTAACACATTGTGAATGGTTGGGCCACCAGAACTAGATCTCTCCGGCATGTGTTCAGTTGTGTGGTGGTGGTCTAACTTTTATACCCACTGTCACAATTTGAGCTGTTTCTCATGTTCTCTGGTGCAGCAAGTGGTCACATCTCCCCTCAAATTGCTTTGGTCAGAAACAAGGCTAGGGTCAGTGATGTTTATAGTGAACCAGGAGCTGGACCATCGAGAGTGGGGCTGTCATCGGTTTGTGGAGTGTGCTATGTGGCTCAGTAGGGGCTAGGTTTTGAAGTTCTGTCTCAATATGAGTGCATCATCAGCTGACAGTCAGTGGTGTTTTTTTTGATGAGGGTTTTTCCTTGTGAACACTTGGAGGTTCAATGTGTGCTCGTACTGGAAGCTAGTCTAGTCTGATGTCTCAAAATAATCCTCATGACTTCCTGGAGGTGGATTTCTACCTGGGTCCTGAGTCACATTGAGCAGCAGAGTACTCTGCTGTTAGCTAGACCAGGGCAAGTGAAGTAGGGTGTCGTCTGTTGGCTTTGCTGCCAAAGTGCTTTCCATCTGAGATTCAATCTTATTTTGACCTTGGCTCCAGTGGTCGGGAGGTGTTGCCATTCATTCAATGTTTGGTTAAGAGTGATGCCAAAATATTTTTTAGATTTAGATTTTATTGTCATGTGTACTAGAGTATAGGAGTATAGTGAAAAGTGTACAAAGTCACCATTCTCCAACACCATTTTAGTATACAAAAGACAGAATTGAAAACAGAAGCAGAAATAAAAGAAACAGCCAAAAGAAAAGGAAACGTCCAGATCACTTGCCCCGCCTCTGCCAGAAAAACAAAGCCACAAAGACCATCCCTCAGTTTTGGCCATGGGTCGTGAGTGAGTGGTCAGCCAGAGAACTGGACAATTAAATTCCTCTTGAAATTGTTTGGGTGAAATGCTGAAACAACAGGCTGTGTTGTGTTTAACACTGTGGTATGTGAACAGTGATAAGATTGGGGAAGAAGGGAACAGAGAGTTATGCTGAATGAATTGGACAAGGAAGGATGAGAGAAGGTTTATGTCGAGCACAGAGTGGTTGGGCTGAATGACCCATTTTGGGGTAAACCCTTTGAGATGCCATGAGAACACAAGTGATATGATGGAAAGAGATAGTAGGAACTGCCGATGCTGGAGTCTGAGATAACAAGGTGTAGAGCTGGATGAACATAGCAGGCGAGGCAGCATCAGAGGAGCAGGAAAGCTGACTTTTCAGGTCTGGACCCTTCTTCAGAAATGATGGAAATGTGTGTTCTTTCATTCTAGTCCACTGTGTTTGGAACAATTGGTGTCACTCGTTTGTGAACTAACCTCACCCACTGTCTTCTTGCAGATTCATGAGGAGAGTAGGGAACAGGGCCGCAACCCCTTCCAGCGCAGGGCCCGCTCTTGTTTGTCCGATGCTAGGATCCTGGCCAGCGTCCAGCAGATCCCTGGAGTTGGGAAAGTCAAAGCCATGAGTCTGCTGCAGCACTTCCACAGTATTCAGCAGCTCAGTGCTGCCAGTACCCAGGAGCTGGAAGCCGTGATAGGACATGCACTGGCTCAGCAGATCACTCAATTCTTCTCATCAGTGAACTGATGCCTGGGCTTACAGATTGATGATGTCAGTGATTTACTCAGGAGTTGCCTCCTGGTGGGACTGTTGTCACTCGTACAGTGCTCCACATTGACCAATTTGAGTGCCTTGTGTAAATGTTGCCATAGGGAGTGGCTGCTGTAGTTTGTTAACAAGGTGCTGCAGGAGATTCTCCTGCAACATCCTGTCAATAATTGTTTGTGATGTTCCTGGCTCTGAAAGAACATCTAACTTGGATTACAGAATGGTGAACTCCAGGAGTAATGTGGAGAATACTCTTTAGTCTAGCCCAGTTCTGTCTGCTGCAGTGATCAATGTTTTTACAGAGGTAGGGGGCTTTGTCCTGGGAGAGATTTTGAACACAGCATGCTGACTCGAAAATGCAGTTGTATAAAAGATTCTTGAAGTAAAAATACTTTCAATGCTTCTTGCTCCCTTTGCTCTCAGTCATTGTGGGTAAAACTCCATCAGATCAGATGCAGTTAGATTGGTGTCTGCAGCTTTTCCATCAGACACTCCATTGCTTCAAAACTCAGGAGATCTTTGTGTCTTAGTGTTAACTATTCCAACAGTTAACACTATCTTGATAGGGAGATGTTGATGTTATGGTGATGTCACTGTCATACTAATCCACAGGCCCAGGCTAATACTCCAGGTACATGTGGCAGTTGGTGCAGTTTGAATCAATCTGGAATTGAAAGCTTGTCTCAGTCACGATGACCATGAAACCATTATTGATTGTTTAAAAACTCACCTAGAGTCCTGCAATCCCCACCCACCATGGCCAATGTGGTCAACTCAAGTGCTGTCTGATGTACTTGAGCAAGCCATTCAATCCAAGAGCATTAGGATGGGCAATAAATGCTGCTGTGGTCAGTAGCACTTCATGAAGGAACTGTTTTAAAAGATGAAATCAATGCTGCCTAGAAGGAAAATTAATAAAACTTGCAAATAACACATTGGGTTGTATATTTAAGGCCATAAGATATAGAGCAAAATTAGACCAATTAGGCTATTCAGCCCGTCAGGTCTGCTCTACCATTTGATTATGGGTGATATATTTCTCAACGCTATTCCCCTGCCTTTTCCCCCACAACCTTTGGTTAGTTTACTAATCATGGGGAGTGGTGGCCCAGAGGTATTATTGCTAAACTATTAATCCAGAGACCCAGATAAATGTTCTCAGGGCCTAGGTTTGAATTCTGCCATGGCAGATTATGTAATTTGAATTCAGCAAAAATCTGGAATTAGGAATGATGACCATGAAACCGTTGTCAATTGTTGGGGGTGAAAGAAGCATCTGGTTCACTAATGTCCTTTACAGAAGGAGACTGCTGTCCTTGCCCATATGTGAGTCCAGACCTACAGATGGGCAGTGAATACTGGCCTTGCCAGTGATGCCCACATCTTGTGAATGAAACACTTTTTTAAATAAAGAACCAATTTATCACTGCTTTAAAGGTACTCACTGACTTGGCCTACAGGGCCTTCTGTGGCAATGAGCCTCACACAGTCACCACCCTCTGTACAACCAGTATGTTCACGTCCAAATATTGTGTTTTACAGCTTTTATTTCCTTTCTGTTACAGTACAGGAAAGAAAAGGAATAGGCAGATTTTTCAGATTTAGCAAAATATTGTCTTAAATAAAACAAACTGGAACTATTCAGGGAGAGAAGCAGAAATTTATACTGGAGATCAGATAGATATATGCAGCTTCCTTTGTTTATTTTACTGACTTTGAAACAGCTGCAGAACCCTGTATTATTAAACCCAATTAGTTTAATTCTTTCACCATTAGAATGTACAACCAGGTCATGATTTTATTGATCACAATCACCTTTGTAGCTACAGGGGTAAAACATACATGTCAGCAAGTCATTAAATATAGGTCTTTCCAATCCAGAGGATTGAGGTGGGGCTGACTGGAGCCTGTGTTCAAAAGAGGCAACCCACTGGAAGCTGGGCTATCTGTTTCCATCATTTCCCGAGAGAACATGGTCACTAAACTGACCATCCAGTTGCTGAAAATTTCTGCAGATTAGTGTTTGCTGTGCTTCCTCTAGTGTAATCCTGTTAAATGCTGCAACTCTCCTTCTGAGCTGCAGCTTACAATCAGCATCTGGACTAACTTCTGTCCTACTCCTGATCTGTGGCAGTTACTCAAATTGTGAGCGCAGCAGATCAGACCTTCACATGTCTAACTAATACACATGATGTGAAGGTGCCAGTGTTGGACCTGATGAAGGAGCAACACTCCAAAAACTTCTGATTTCAAATAAACCTGTTGGACTATAACCAGGTGTTGTGTGACTTCTGACCTTAACTAATATATATGAGAGGTAGCCTCTAAATTATTACCTGAGACTGCAGCTCTCTCCAGGAAGAATCCCACAGCTTCTCTGGTTCCTCTGGAGTCTGGTTGCTACTGACTGTCATACTGGTCACAAAGTCAAGAAATTCAGGCAAGCAGTTTTACACTTAATTTGATCTTTAATTTCTGCACATTACATCTGTACAATGAGATTTTATTTAATCGTGACAATTAATCCAATTATAAAACAATGGCTGAAGGATCAAGCTGCAGAAGTTATGTGTCGTTCTCTCTCTCTTTCTGTGTTGTACAAGGTGTGATTGCTGAACCAGCGGGACAGAGTTCCAATAGCAATGACATCCTTGTGGGCAGCACCAGTTTGTTAGGGACAGCAGTAATAATCTTCACTGAGGAGTGCTCCTTACCACCTCCTCATTTCATAGGTAATAGCACTTCTGTTTATCCAGGAAGAAAATGCCATTCCTTGGGGAATGGGTCCTATCCTATAGAGTCAAGTGGTCAGATCACAAAGAGCCATTAATCGGACTTCCCCATCCCACAGTACAGACAGAGTGGGACAGAGCTCAGTGGAAAGAAAATCCCACATATCTTGATTAAATGTTAAATATAGGACAGGTTCTGTACAAAACAATTTATAAATATTCACTGAAGTTAAACCCACATAGACCCTGTTAAAATATAGTTAAAGACATACCCAAAAATAAATCAGACTTGCTGTTTAAGATTTATATTCTAATTATTAAATTAAGGCACAATTTTCATTTGAGTATCAAACAGTAATATTTTAAAATCTACCCTGTAGACAGTATTTATAAACTAACAAAGTATTGTATTGGCCATACAACCTCCGCAATCCAAAACACAAATTTCTTTTTAAATGGAGAGGAATCAGTTGCTTGTTCATTCTTCAAAGACTCAAATTTGATAGAGGAGATGTCAGTTCACCTTAGGCCGTTTGAGCCCATGTCTGGAGTTTGCACCAACCAGGAGGATAATTGACCAGTGACCAGAATTTCTACCAGAAACTGAGACAGTGTGTCAGCAAAAAGTGTTCTGCCCTCTCCCTTCGTCATTTATCAAAGTGTCAAGTGGAAGCTTCAATTGGAGAGGGTGGAGCAGGATGTAAAAGAAACACATACACAATGCATGAAGAACCAGGACATCCCAGTTATGCTGTAGGACATCGAGACAGAAGTTCATTCTGGGAAGAAAGTGATCAGCTATTGAAATGTGTATGAGGGTGATACTTTTGGTCAGTCACAGTGAGCTGCATAGCAAGAGTTGAGATTAAGGCAGCTGAACATCAAGCAGAAAACATACTGCATCTGCTATGAGGACACTTTGTGGGAGTTAAACGGTGCTTGTCCACATCTTTCAGACATAATTCAGGAAGCCTCCATTTTCTGGCTTATGGTCCAAGTGAGAGCACAGGCAGGGTGAGATGTCTACATTGTGTTAGGGGTTAGAATCGGGAGTCCAGTCAGCAGGAAGGATCCCTCAGTACAGGCAGCTTCCATCTAATGTCGGTCTGTTGGAAATTTGCTGGGGACCACTATCCACTGCCACGGGAAGGCTAACTGTACTTGCTGTCTTCTTTGTGTTCTTAATACCCCAGTTCAGGAATGATAGTTTCTTCACCACTTTCTTGCCTTTCCTGCTCTTTGCATCATCCAGAGTCAGGCACGTCAATGAGTATGTCTTGGGTAACCCTCCGCTGTACGTTGCACACTTGGGCTGGGATCAGAAGTGAACAAATTAGCAAAGAGTCCAAAAATTGCCAAAATCGGTCAATACACTATCTGTGCCTGAAAGGCACTCACTATTTGCTAAAGCATTTCAATTGGCTAAAACTTGAGGCTCCCAAACAAACTAATTTTCTGTATAATTAGCAAGTTGCCAGTGAAATAGTGGCAAATCACAGGTTGCAAAGTTACAAACTCACTATTGGTTTGAGAGGAAAACTAACCCTTCCCTGCTTTCACAAAGTCATACAGCACGGAAACTGACTCTTCGGTCCAACCCATCTGTACCAACCAGACATCCCAATCTGATCTAGTCCCATTTGGCCCATATCCCTCTAAACCCTTCCTATTCATATACCCATCCAGTTGCCTTTTAAATGCTGTAATCGTACCAGGCTCCATCATTTCCTCTGGCAGCTCATTCCATACACACACTACCTGCTGTGAGAAAATGTTCCTGCTCAGATCCTTCTTAAATCTTTCCCCCCTCACCTTAAATCTACACCCACTCATTTTGAATTCCCCTACCATAGGATTAGAGAGGACTCTTTCCCTTCCCATTTATTGCCAAAGTTTGTAATTCCTACAGGGGAATATTTGCATTGATTAGCTACAGCAGAAGATATGGTGTCCATCTAATGAGCTGGATATTTTGACAGTAAAAGTTCCTTTGACTAAGGCAGAGAGAGTGTTGTAGAGATCTTTGTTCAAATAATTGAGGAGGAAGAGCCTAGTAACCAGGAGCAGCAGAACACGTCCTGGTAAGTAGACTGCACCAAATGAGCTCCGAGTGGCCTGTTTTCAGAGACCACTCAAACCAGTTCAAGTCAGATTCAGTTCCAGGCCCCATCAGGCAATGTACAGAGCAAGAAAAATGACGACATTATAGATACATCAATATGCACAGAGTCAGTTACACTCTGGGATAAATAGATAGAACTGAAATTACTCATTTACAATAAACGCCTGTAAAACAAGAATATAGTTTTAACATTTCCCTCCTGGGACCAATATTTCCTAAGTTGCTGCTCATTTTCTTTAGAGAAAGTGGGTTTGTTGGAATAAATAAATGGAAATACTTCCCTGTATTCCAACAGCAGTTATACTACAGGCAATGAGAAGCTGAAGCTGTTGGAGATTTTAGGGAACAGGAGCTTGGCAATGGACTCTACCCCAGAGGAATAATCATATTTTTTGCAATCTACTCAACCTGTATCAGCAACCATTGAGTTAATACCCACATTGTTTTTGACAGAATCCTTGCTCCCAAAGTGTTTATTGACATGAGGCCAAGCAGGGCAGCTGAGGACATAGTCACCTGATCCTTGTGTACAGTAACCACATCTTGAAGAACTCATTTGCATTACGGTTGGGAAAACACTGGCACAGAAGCAGGGTAGAGGTGTTGAGGTGAGACTGAGATCACAAAGGCAAGGCTAATGTCAGCCCTATCCTCCACCCCAATCTTAAAACAGCCACCAAACACAGTAATGTCTCTGTTGGGTAATTAGACCTGGCCAGTGGAAGAAATCAAACGTTCCGCTCCCCAATAACTAACTTGTGGAAGAACCTGGCTCTTCATTCACTCAACAGGAGGGCAACACGTGAAGATTAGATTTGCAGTGGAATATTTTAAACAGACAGCAGGATTCTGACTACAAAAACTGGACGGGTAGCTGGCACTGGGTCGCACTGTGCACAGAATAAAGAACAATACAGCACAGGAACAGGCCCTTCAGTCTATGTGACTGTGCCAGAACACGATGCCTTTCTAAACTAAAAGGCTTTTGCCTCTATGTGGTCTGTGTCATAGATCATAGAATCCCTACAGTGTGGAAACAGGCCATTCGGCCCAACACATCCACACCATCCCTCCGAAGAGCATCCGACCCTGACTCATTCCCCTACCCCTGCATTTCCCCATGTCTAACCCACCTAACCTAAACATCCCTGGACACTCTGGGCAATTTAGCATGGCCAATCCACCTAACCTGCACATCTTTGGACTGTGGGAGGAAACCAGAGCACTCGGAGGAAACCCACACAGACACTGGGAGAATGTGCAAACTCCACACAGACAGTCGCCCGAGGGTGGAATCAAACCCGGGTCCCTGGCACTGTGAGGCAACAACGCTAACTACTGAGCCACATTTTGACAGATATATGAATAGGGGAGTAAAAGGACATTTTTTTTAAAAAAAATGTTCTTCTACTCCCTGCCTATTCATGTATCTGTCAAAATGCCTCTTAAGAGGTTGCCATTGTATTTGCCTCTGGCAGCACATTCCAGGCACTTTACCAACTTCTGCATTTAAAAAAAAACAAAAAACTTACCCACTTTTACCTTAAACCTATGTCCCCTAGTAATTGACATTTCAACCCTGGGAAGAACACTGTGTACACCTAGATCCCTCAGTATGTTGATGCTTTTAAGTGTTCTGCCATTTACCGTATACATCCTCCTGCATTAGATCTTTCAAAATACATCACCTCACATTTGTCTGGATTAAACTTCATCTCCCATTTCTTTATCGAATCCTCCAGCCTATCAATATCCTGCTGTATCCTCCGGCAATCCTCCTTGCTATCTGCAGCTCCCCCAGTCTTTGTGTTGTCCACAAACTCACTAATCAGGCCACCTACATTCTCCTCCAAATCACATATATATTACCCACAACAGGGGTTTCAGCACTGATCCCTGTGGAACACCGACACCTGGGTGCCCCGGAGGGGAGCTCCGACACCTGGTCGCCCTGCCCCCCGGGGAGGGGGGTGTTGCTCGTGATCCATTGAATTGTTGATGGACGTTTAGCAGGAACAGGAAAGGCCAGATTGCCCCTTGATCTTGTTTGCCCCTCCATCCTCTCTTGCCAACAGACCAGCATTGAAGCAACCACAATAATACCATTCCCTAACAGCATCAGGGGTGACCCTACACCCCAAAGACAGCTCACCACCAGCACCTTCTCCAGAGTGATTAGGGACAGGCAATGATGCCAACATCCTGTGAGGTAATTAATATATTCTAACTGTTAGATTGCTTTTGTTGGAGTTGGGGGTCTGCGTGGTGAGCAACGAGATGAAGAGGGGTGACAAGGAACTCAGCTCATCTGAGGTGCCCAAGGGGTCTGTTTCCATTGCTGTGGCTGGTTTGGTTGGGTGGGTGGGATGGCCAAGGTCAAGAGCACTATAGATGAGATTTTGATCCAAGCCTGTAGTTCAATCATGTCTCATTTCCCTCTTCCTCAATCCCACAGGAAACTGTTGCACCACACTCACTAACCCTCTTTGATAGTTACACTGCACAAGTTTACCAGCTAAGAGAATCGACCTCAAAGACAATCATGGACAGATCAGATAGTTGAATTCCGAGCTGCTCTCACACACACATTCTGAGAAGAGTAATGAGGAGTAAGGACCAAGGCAGGATTTCTAGTCTCAGGATTGACTCAAACAGAAATTTTACTGTGAGAGGTAACACCATGCAGTTAAAGGCATGGGACCTGGTCTGCCTGAACAAAGCAAATCACTGCTGTCAATGTGTATCAACTACATTAGGTCTGATCATCTCTGTACAGGATCCCTAACACTGTCCCAGCACAATCTGTGGATGTCCCACAATCACTCACCAGCTGCACAGTCTCCAGGCTTTGAGGGCTGATGACTTGAATGTCTAATCCATTCTCAGGCATTTGCTTCAGCATCTGAATCACTTCACTCACCGAGCCCCATTTACAGTCCTTCCCTGCGACAGACACAATGATATCACCATCTCTCAGGCCTGACCGCTGAAAACAGAGAGGAACACAGAGTCATAACTCCTTCACAAACCACTCACTGATGCATTAAGTTGCTCACACTCCTGCCAGGCAGGAAGGAAACAGGGTGGGGAAGCACAAAGGAGGGAGTCAGGATATCAACCTGTGAAATTTGTGCCAGGGTGTGTCCGCTCGCTGATTGGATTCTTGGGTATTCTCAAATTCCTGGACCTTACCTTACTGGACATTCTCGCTGAGAGTTTAGTTTGAGGGATAGCTAGCCTCAGTCTTGGTAAAGGGGCAGGGAAGGGGAAGTAACATCAGTATCCCCAATTCTAGCTTCCTGCAGTGATCAGGTCACCGATTCTGTTGTCATATGCTCACTGTTCCTGGACAGAATGTGGAGCTGAGCTGTGACCTAACAGCTCAGCACAGACCCTGAGGTTTGGTAAACACTCCATCTGGTGTGGTTACGATGAGAGATGGGACTGAGAAACAAAAACAGCTAGGTTCTGCTCCTGCAGCAGCATGATCTTAGAAGAGAAAGGTGAGGCTTTACTTACAGCAGCATCACTGGTCGGGTCCAAGCTTGTAACCTGCACGGCTGACTCCCCCTGCAGGGTGAAGCCACGATCCTGGTCCCCTGCTGTCAGGTGGATTTTACGAGGTGCTGTCCATTTCTGTTTTGCTGAGAACACACCAATCGGCCCCTGAGAGAAACCATTCAACCACAGATTAATGGCACGCCCAAGAAATCAATTTGTATACAATATTTGGGTTAGTAGTAGGTGCTGACTGTGTGATCTTGCTGTGTCAAAGACACTCAATAAGTTTTTTTTGGTTGTGCTGGTTTCAGGTGGGATATTGGACCTGGGGAGCTAAGAGGCTATTCATCCAGGGGAGCTGGTTATTCTCTAAAAACCAAAAGAACTGCGGATGCTGTAAATAAGAGACAAAAATGGTAATTTCTATTTTTGAGCTGGTTATTGTCACTGAACACATGATCTTGAGAGCTTGGCTGAAGTCCTGGCACATGGGATCCAATCCCATCCTGGCAGATGGTGACATTTGAATTCAATACAAACTTGGAATTAAGAACTGGTCTAATGGTGATGATGAAACCATCATTGAATGTATTAAAAACCGATCTGGTTCACTGATACTGGTTAGGATATTTTCCTTTGCTGACCCTTCCCTGGACTGGCATACACAACTCCAGACCCATAATACTGCGGTCGATTCTTAACTGTCCTCTGAAATGGTCTGAAAAGCCCCTTCGTTGCACCAAACTGTTACACCGTCACAGAAAACCAGGAAACTTGTCAAAGCCTGGAGGGGTACAGCTCCATCAACGTTGAAAAAAACTCAACATCATCCGAGGGAAAGTCCACCAAAGAAGCCGAAGGGGAAGACTAATGTCGAGTGATTGAAGAGCAATTGCTTCAGTCACCACCAACTCCCAGAATCACAGCATCCAGCTGCCCCCTTACCTCCCTCCAGAACCCTTAAACCTCTACCCCATGTGACAATCCCTGCAGACTACTGAACTGTCTGATGTTCCTGATCAACAACAAGCTTCTCCTTCCTGTTGGAGTGCTATGGAAATGCTGGTCTTGTTTATTTCAACAACTGAAGAGTGGAAGCCAGGTCAACGGTGACCTGTGGGACACAGTGAAAACAGACAGAGATTCAACCAGCGAACGGCAGACCCTCCACTGAATGCAGCCAAGTGGCATTGAAAACACACAAACCAGCAGTAGATGGATGTGCAGCATCAAGACCAGCATTGAACTGTCAGGCCAAATGGTTGTTCAGTATATTTTACATATTACTGATTTCTCAGTGAGTTATTGCTGCACCAGCCAATCAGATTCTGATTCTCTAAATCCCTGCTTCGTCTTGGCTTTAATGCTGCAATCTGCTTCAAACAGTAACTGCTTACAGTGAAAGCTGGGCTGCAGCATGTGCTCATGGGGAGGGAATTAGACACGAATTCTGGGTTCTGTCCAGAAGTTATCACTGAATTGGTTGCTATGTGTGGGGCTAGGATTCAGCTAAGCCTGTAACCCTCAACCCTCTCTCTCTCTCATCAGTCATCTTTACCAATCATTATGGAGACAAAGGATGGCCATCATGGAGGATGGGTCACATCTCCTCATGCTGAGGAACGTTCTCAGGGAAGGGCTAGTGCTGGATATTGTGGCGAGCAGTTTGGTGTGTGTGTGCATGTGTGTGCGCACTCCTGGTCTTGGATTCCCTTTCCTCCCTATCCGAACCCTCCCAGACCCTGACTTCCTCACCCACAGTCCCAGCCCCAAAATGCACCCTGACCCCTGCTCTCCCTCACCATGGACCCTTGCTCCCAGATCATCCACCCACCCCCACCAAAGACCCCTCCTCCCCAATCTCTGTCCCGTACCCCTCTGCCCCCCCAATCACTGCTCCCCACTTTCTGTCATCACCCCTCCAATCCCTGCTCCCCAATCTCTGTCCCGTTCCCCCTCCCGATCCCTGCTCCCCGATCTCTGGTCTCCAATCTCTGTCCTGTCCCCCCCGATCCCTGCTCTCCTATCCCCTGTCCCCACCCCTTGCTGTGATCATCTTTTTTTCAGTCATGTCCTCCCGTAATTCCCTCCTGACCTCTGCTCCCCAGTCTCCCCTTCAATCCCAGTCATTTCCCCCTTACCCCCATCCCTCTCTTCCAGCCGGGAATACATACCAGCTTGTGGAAAAAGTCCCTCACTTTCACCTTGAAGAACTGAGGCTGTACCATTTCAATCTTTTGATCACTTTTGGCTGCAGCAAGGAAACAAAATCACAATCATCAACTGATCCGGGATGGTACAGCACACTGAGTAATGAATCTGCTAGAGAGACACAGAGGGAGATGAGAGAACCGTACCGATTATATTTGGGGCATTCATCATGTCAAAGTCATCCTCCTGTTCATGCTCAGAATACTTGGTGAGTGAGCGTTTGTGGGATACTCTCAGGATCTCTTGTAGGATCTCGATCTTCTTCAGAGATTTGCAGAGATTCTGAACTCTCACAGCTTCCTCGTGGCCCATTATGGCCTTCCTTAAATGTGCTTTCCCTGTAAACACAGGACATGTATAAGGAAGACCTCAATGTGGACTAACCAAGGAAAGTCTCACAGCCCACCCAGACTGAAACCTGCTTTGCATCAACCCACTAGTCCATTCAGCAGAATGCTCAGGATTTTAAAATCTGCAAACATTTTAAAACTCCCCTTTTTAAGGGAAATATCAGAGCTGTAGGAGACAGTCTAGCATTTAATGACACTTCAGAACAAATATGTTCACAAAAAGAAAGACTCAGGACTCCTGAATGTAGATACTCATGGATGCCCAACAGCAGGCAGTACACGATAAAGCAAAACCAAAAGGAAGTGTGTGTCAGATACAGCAGGAACTCAACACTTACAGAAAGCTCGGTCTTAAAAAAGAGGTGAAATATAAAGTGAAATTTGGTAAACTGAGAAAGGGCAAAATAAATATTGGAAAGTAAAATCAAGAAAAGCCCCAAAGGTGTTTTCTGAATATATCAAAAGCAAAAGAATAATAATGGAAAGGGTAGAGTCAGCAAACAGAGAGCTGATGTTTGTAGAGGTGGAAGATCGAGAAAGCTTCTCACTTTGTATCTGTTTCCAACAAGATGCAGATATTGTAATCAAGGAAAAACCAGCAGTATTGACTGGTATAAACACACAGTTGCAGAGGAATTATGAAAGGGCTCACTTTCTGTGAAAGTGAAGGGCAAGGCAGGCTTGATGGGTTGAATGGCCTACTCCTGTTCCTCGGTTTATTATAGCAGAGGCCGTGACCATGGTTTTCCAATAACCCCTAGTTCCTGGTTTGGAGTATTGCTAACATTATTGCATTGTTTAAAAAGATGGGTAGAACGAGTAACAATAGTCCAGTCAGTCTAACCTGGATGCTGGGAAATCATCTCAAAAATTTCAGAGACAGAGACACAGTTGGCAGGCGTCATGGTGGCTCAGTGGTTAGCACTGCTGCCTCACAGCGCCAGGGACCCAAGTTCAATACCACCCTCGGGCAACTGTCTGTGTGGAGTTTGCACGTTCTCCCCAGGTCTGCATGGGTTTCCTCCGGGTGCTCCGGTTTCCTGCTGCAGTCCAAGATGTGCAGGATAGAGTGGATTGGCCATGCTAAATTGTCCATAGTGTCCAGGGATGTGTAGGTTAGGTGGGTAGACGGTCTGGGTGGGATGCTGTTTGGAGGGGTGGTGTGGACTTGTTGGGCCAAAGGGCCTGTTTCCACAATGTAGGGATACTATTACTATGACAGTCATTTTGATAAACACAAACTCATTCAAGGGCAGCGGTGATTGGTGAAGAGAAAGAACGTTTTGGAGAGTGGTACAGATGATATGGTTAACATGGTTTCTCATGGCTTTTCAAAGTGCCACACAACAACCTGGTCAGAAAAGTAAAAACCCATGGCATCCAAGGACCAAGAGTAAGTTTGGTTCAGAGGTAGGAGCCAGAGGGAATGGTTAACTGGTGTTTTAGTGATGTGAAGGACTGGCTGCTTCTGGTGAGGTTAGGCATTACAGTCAGAATTATACTGTTTCCCCAAGGGGTCTTCCTGAAATTATCCTGAGCACTACCTGTTATTTATCTGGGGCTTCATTCTCACTAGGGGTGCACAATTCTCTTTATTCTTTCTTCACAATTCCCCTCAAATTTGGATTCTAAATACAATTCCCAATTTGCAATGATAACTAATCACAGAATTGTTACAGTACAGCAGCAGGAAGCCATTCAGCCCATGATGCCTGCACTGGCTCACTCAACGAGCATCTTCCTCAAAGCCATTCTCCTGCCTCCTCCGCACAGCTCTGCATATTCAAATCTACACATTAGGATCAGGATTAGACCATTTGGCCCATTATTCCCACTCTGCTATCCAATAAGATCATGGCTGACCTGTTTGCTTTGAATTCCACATTCCCCATCAACACCCCCATAAACTCTGACTGGCTGCCTAACAAGAAACTCTCTATCTCCACCTTAAATATTCAATGACCTGCCTCCACCACCTTCCAAGGCAGAATTCCAAAGTCTCACAACCCTCTGTTCTGAATAGGTGACTCCTCATTTTAAACAGTGCCTCCTAGTTCTGGACCAGACTGAGCCGCAAGAAGAAACATCCTTTCCACAAGCACCTTGTCAAGACCATTCAGGATTTTATACACTTCAGTCAAGTCACGCCTCACTCTACGAGACTCCAAGGGATGCTTTCAATTGAGGTCATTAACCCTGCCACTTCACACAATACCAAGTCCAGCATAAACTACTCTCTGGTTGGTTCCACAAAGTATTGCTCTAAGAAATTCTCTTGAAAACATTGTAGTAACATCTCATCAAGCAATTCTTACAGCCAGAACCCTCTCACTCTGCTACAAACTGATGTCCCGAGTACAGGCTGCTGTTTCTTACCAACACGTTTACGTTCCTCTTTGCTTCTCAGAATGGAAAGTGGTGCGAGGCCATCAGGCATTGCATCGTAGAGTTGGCAGAGAAGCATCTCCTGTTGGTCAGTGTCATCCTGGGAATTCACTACAACAGGCATGGGGAGGGAATACAAACACAGTAAACACGGTACAGCCACGCAGGGAGGGAACACAAACACGGTGAACATGGTACCGCCACGTGAAGAGGGAACACAAACACAGTGAATATGGTACTGCCACGCGGGGAGGGA